CGTGTGCGTTTACACGCGGGTGACACTCTTATTAAAATCTACTAATTATACGTTCACAGATTTCCCAGCGATGTCGAAAGGGCCCAGAGGTGGTTGGCGTTCGTAGCGACGTGCGGTTACGATCCGGCGGCCGTAAACTTGCGGAGCGCTTTCATTTGTTCCAGGCACTTTGACCCTGTCAACGATTACCGTACCAACCCAATCCGCAGGTTACTCATTAGCACTGCTGTGCCCACCGTAAGCCGCTACATATATATTTCGTTGTTCCGGATTCGATTATCTTATTTCATGATTATGTTCAGGTGATTGTCGCCAATCCCGAAGCAGCTCGACCCTCTCAGTCGGACGTAAAACACTTCCATTCAGTCTATATTTTAATAATTGCGTTCGCGGGATCTCATGGTTTTTATGATTGTTTCAAACGCGTAATCCCTAACCGAATCGATTCGTGGGGGGATGGTCAATATTGATATGTTCACGGGGTTTGGCCGGTCTCCAATTTATTTACAACCATCAGATTCCGTATCCGCGTGTTGTCCAATCGCAATTGTTGAGATGTGTAATAAATACATTTAGGTTGAAATCGTCGGCATCGCCGTTGGTGACGACGAGGCGGCGGTTGGCGATATAAACGACATGGTACGAAATTGTTTTTTTTTTTCATGTAGTACATTTAATATACAACTTTTTGAATACTTATAATACGTTCGAAGGTCGAAGTCGTCGAAGCCGAAGCGTCACCCGAAATAGTCGACGTCGTTCCGTTCGAAGTGAGTAGTGTTCATTACGTCGTGTTATAGTAATAATAATTAAAATAATATTATTTTTTTGTTAACGTGCAGGTCCAAGTGGTCGGGGCTCCCGTCGAACCGTCGCCCGAATTCGTCGACGTCGGGTTGGACGACGTCAGTAAAATAATTATTCAATCGCTTTTTGAAATACGACGGAAATAAAGACTTTTAATTATTATTTTTTTTTTCTATCCCGTTGTGTATAGCTTGCCGCCGTCGTCGGAGTTCAAAACGAACCAGCCCTCGACGTCGCTCCGTCCGAAGTGAGTTTAGTTATTTCGAACATTACAATAAATAGTATATTAAATATAGCATTCGGCTTTAATAAAACGGAATCTGTTGTACAGCGTGACGTGCATTATATTATAATACGGTGTACATCTTTTTATCTTTTTTTTTTAATTACATACATTNGTTTTTATCTTTTTTTTTTTTTTTACAAAAATTACAAACGTACATTTAGGGACAGCGCCGTAGGTCGTCGCGTCTGTTGTGTTGCCTATTTAGTGTGGAACGGCGTATCTTCTACTTATTTTGTATTTTTT